GGGGGGGGGGGGGGGGGGCTTAAACTGAGAGTAAGAAGCGGCTAGGGTTATCCTATTCAACAAGCGGGTATTCTTTAATCAAGCCAATCAAACTCAATCAATCTACTCGGAAACCCTCATTCAAGAAGTCTCCCGCCGCGGAATCTGCGCCAACGTTAGCCCTTATTGTCTGGTTGACGGCCTGCTGAGCAGTGTGCATGTACTCGCGACGACGCAGGTCAATTGAGGGGGAATGGTGCATCTGCCTATTCTAAGAGGGACTGTCGCCCGTTTGGGTTAATTCCCCGCCAGATAATATAAAAAGTAAGTGCCTGACGTTCTTATCTACAATACTCGACCGTGCTGTGTACTTACCTCCCAACAGTTTGTTTGTTTTACGTGCTAAATATAGGTTACTCTATTCTACATAATAAACATGTTTGACCCATTTAAGCATTTGAACCATGGAGATTCCACTGCCAGGTGAACTGCGTTGTGAGCTTACAGTGAAGACTGGAAGACCGCTCGAACGCTGCCGCGATAAAGGCGTTGCGCTGTCGTTTGACATCTCGGTTTCAGAAGGCTACGATGTTCTAAGAGCTAAGGTCAAGTCGGCTTTTGCCACAAAGGAGCGTCTAACCTGGAACGACGGACTTAATGTATACATCCGACTTGCGAAGAACGCCCCTCAAAAGGCGTTCGTGAAGATGGATCAGGACGGCTTTATGCCTCTGCTACGGACTGCCTGGCGGAACGCTCGGCTGCGTCGCGGTGGACACGTTGACTTTGGGCTAGACATTTTTGTGCATATAGAGAAAACGAAGCGAGTGCCAACTGCTACGCTCCATCGTGCTACAGAAAACCGCGTGCAGCAAGTACTACCACGAGTCCAAGAAGCACTCCAAGCAGCCAATGTACCCTTCGGTCCCGCTACTCTACGTTATGCTGCTACAGCACAAGCCAGATTACCCGACGGAGAAGCCGTGCGTGTACCGAACAATACTACGTTTCAGCAGTTGCAGCACATCGACAGCCTCGAGCAAGAAGCTAGTACGGCAACCAGGGAACCGGATGAATTTCGCACCGATTCAGGTTATCCTAAACGAAGCAACACTAACGGTACGTATGCGAGTGGAGGATATTAGGTGTGCACTGGGACTGCCATTATATCCGCTCTGCCCTCCTTTTCGCCCAGTATCCGTGTTCGTTCCGCCCCCGGAACAAGATATGGACGATGTTGATCATGCACTCAGCGACGATGGAGTTGAACAAATGTCGGTTTAAACAAGACAATACAATTTATCTTGCAATGTTAAGAGCGGCTTTTAAATATCCACAGTGTTTGTAGAGTCCATACCCGACGTGATCGTGCACCTTGGTGCATTCCCTTAGTGCCGCATTAATAACCGAAATTGGAGCCTCCTTGAATGCAAAGCCTGCATTTTTGATGATCCAAACGTTTTAGCAACGAAAACCCCACCTCAATGGGATTCAGATCTGGTGAGTAGGGAGGCAAGAAGAATAGTAGATATCCCGTGGAGTGTACGAGCTCTTGTAGCTCCTGGTACATGTGTATCTTGGCGTTGTCGAGGACCATAATGAACCTAGGCAACGGCCATCGGTTCAAATAAGGCGCAATCTTAGTTGCAAAAGCCTCATGGAACTGTTTTCTTGTAAAAGTGTCGAAAGTGTGTCCCCAGGAAAAAAAGCCATGTACGTCCAATGCCGCGAGTACAGATATCCGTTGGCCACGAGATGACGGTAAGTTGACTACAGTCGGTGTACCCCGTTTCGACCACGCATAGTTTCGCAAAACGCTTCTACAATACGCAAAACCAATGATTAGCAAAATATTATTTAAAAATTTAATAAAAAAAACAAACCTTCCGTCTTTTGAAGTCTCGTCCACGATGACAAGTTGCTCAGGGCCACTGTAAAACGGTAGAAGTCGGTTAGCGTACTCGTGACGTTCACGAGGAGCTGACTCACGTGCACGCTTAGTTAGCTTTTTTTCTTGTAAGGTCTAAGTCAAACTGTAGAGCACGGCATATTGAAGCCGCGGATGTGTTTTTTTACGTGGCCAAACCGGCGACGTAGCTCAGTTTGGAGCTCTTCAATGTAAAAGCAGGGATGCGCTTTGACGTATTTCTCCACAAACATCACGACCTCTTGAGGCCAATTGCTGCTACGCTGTCGGAGTTGTTTCTTTTCACAAGGCAATCCTGTCTTATTAAATCTTGTAATCCAGCGACGGATAGTGCGTTCGTGGCTTCCAAAAAGTGTACCAGCCATTGTTGCATCCATGCCATACACATAAACGAGTACAATTGCTCTCCAACGTAAGTCGCCTGAGTAAGTCATGCTAAATGCAGCCTGTTTCCGAACGGCCAAGAAATTGCCGCATTCGGATGGAGAGGCTGGTTGGCTGCGGACTACGGCCAGCTATGTCGATTTTGATTGGATCTACTAATCAGATAGTTCCTTATTCGTTGGTACTGTCCTCATAATACGAGCTCATTTACCTAACCCTTATCCTTAGTGCCTTTGTTACTCTGAGCATAAGAGCTCGTTTTGGACAATTCGGTTGAAACGCACAATATTTTACGGCACTAAATTGCTTGCCTGTGTTGTTTCTAGTGTCAAAAGGGCTGATGTGTTGCTGTAAGGCCTGTCGTCTTGTCGAACTTATGTTTCCGTAACGCCGTTCACTATTAATACTCATATTGCAGTACACTCAGTACTGCGTACCTAATAGGTTTGCAATTTCATCACCGAACTGATTACTTCAACGTACCCGTGGCCGTAACGGCACCCATCGCAAATGTGGACTGCTCGTTGTTGTGGATCCCTCACCAGCAAGCCTCATTGCTGGTCGACTCGACCGTCGAGCCCTGGTCGTGCGGGCACAATTTGCTCCAGGTGGCGCGTCGGAACTCGGCGCTGGTGGTGTTGCTCCTTTATCGTACTGGCCTTCTTTACGCGTCCAGTCTTTGGCCTCGACATAATCAACGCCCAGCGTTGTGTACATTACATCACGCGCTAATTTACTTGGCTTCACTATGCTCAATGTCAGCCATGTGTTCCTTGCCCCTCCTCTCTGCATTCGCTTTGATCAGATGGTCCATACAGCGCAATAAACCAAAACCTCTGAACTCTAATTTACCTTTCTATTCAAGTCTTACACTGATCTCCACAAACGTCGTTTTTCACCTGTCATTATCGATTTAACTCCAATTTTTAAGGCCAACACCACGCGTCCTCGCTCTTCGTTGCGGAAAGACAAGAACGGGGAAGGCGGCTCCGCCTCAATTACCAGCCCCGCGCACGACGAAGGCCGCTCTCGGGGGTCGTGCATCTCACTCGAACGTCGCGCGTCTCATGCCCCATGGCCTCCGTCGCAGCCCCCGACAAGCGGCGCAAGAAGCCGCGCCCTCCGCCGCCTCTGCTGCCACTGGAGTCACGCACCAGCGATTTCCCCACGGGCTCATCCGAGTCCTCGGTGGTTCCAGAACTGCCCGCGACCTTCGACATGTCGGCCAATAGTAACGCTAGTACAGCCAGCGAGATGACTAGCACCAGTAGCACTAGCGCCAGCAGCTCCAGTCGAGGCATCAAGTGGTGGAAACGCGTGACAGGCATGAGACCAAAGAGACGACGCACAGCCAGTCGAGAGGACCGACGCAGCCTCGACCAGGAGTTGTATGTGAGGAGCATTCTCGAGTCCTATGCGTCGTCTATGAGCTCTAAAGACAGATATTCGACCAGTAATCCACAGTTCTCAGTAGACGAGAACAGCAGCAACAGCAGCAAGAAGAGCAGTGAACGAGTGTCCAGGAGACGAAGAGAAGAAAGAGACAAGACAGATACACAGGACGTTACTACTATTACTACTACAACTACAGCTACAGATTCAGACAGGAGAGAGGACAGGGACTCCGATTCACCTGCCTACATGGCGCACTTTACGCCCAATGGAGACACAGCACAGGACGAACACCGCGTGGATATGGACAATCACTCTCAACCACATCTTACAGCAGGAGTGCCGGGACTTAGCAGTGGCTCAAGCCCTGGGCCTTACGATGACGTGTTGGACGACGGACCGTTCGCCCCCAGTTCAGTTAGTGACGATGAAGACAGGAACAGGAGGAGACTGCGACGACGCATGAAGATTGAGGCCATGCGTGCCAGGTTATTGGAGAAAAACCAGCATCGAGCGAGAGCCCGCAAGAAAATGTGCATCTTCATTGCGTGTATTGGCGTCACGTTGACAGCGTTCGTGGTGGCCGCAGTATTAATTGCCAGAGTGGGCGTGGAGATTCAGAGCAACTCGCTGGAAAGCAGTACCAACACAACAACGACCAATAGCAGCAGCAGCGATAATGACAGTGGCAGTGGCAGCGTCTTTGTGGTTTCTTCGGGTAGTATCGCGTCGGAGGCAGATTTTAGCCTGACAAATTCTGGCGCATCAGCGCTCGATGGATCGTCATCGTCTTCAGCGGATTCTGACGATGATTTGGCGTGGTCGGACTCGGACGATGACTACTCGAGCATTTATTCCAACACGTACACGTATATCCACTGCATCCTGATGGTTCTGTCGCTGTGGATGTCACTGGTCGTTGTGATCATGCACGTGACGTTCCGCAGTTTCCGCACATATTCCCACCCTTTCGTATTGGAGCTGAGCTGTGTGCAATGTGGCTATTGGATTACGTCTCTGCTGCGTGTGATGCTGGAGACGTCAACGCTGTCGGACATGACGTATCTTTTCTTCTGCATGTTCGAGTGTTTCTTCAACTTCGCGCAGATCTCGTTCACCTGTGCCATCGCCTTTAACATGTATCGATCGGTGGTGTCGTACGCAGATGTGTTGATGGACTCTCAGAGCGCCAAGCGCCGATATCGCCGGTACACAATGAATGTGTTGCTGCTCTCGGTCGTGGCCGCAGTGACATTGGCATTGGTTGGCTACCGGTCTGGAGATACGTATGATTACTACGACGAGGACGAATCCGAGTCAGGCTCATCGTCGGCAACAGAAGAGGAGATTCTGGACGAGGAGACCTTTTCACCTTGTCTGTACCCGACGTGTCGTCTCATCTTGTACGTATACTACCCGTTGTTGGCGTTTGCCTTCAATTTCATCTTCTACGTGCGCTTCAAACGCACCATTGGCGAGTCGTATCCGACTTCAGCTACGGGACGACTGAACAAAGTGGCGCGATCGTATCTGATCGTCTTCTTTGTATGCTGGGGCAGCCTCATTATCCTCACAGCGCTCAAAGTGGCGGACTCATCGAATGTTCCAACCATCGCGTCGTTTGTGATGCAGTCCATTTTTGACATTTTGGGTGTGTGTACTGCTGCAATCACCTTCACGAACTTCCATCGGTGCAGGAAGGCGTTCGACTTTGGCTTGTCACTTAAAGCCATTGACCCCAACAGTATCGAGTTCGATGATCCTGTTAATATCGTTGGTGAAGGAACGTTCGCTATCGTGCTCAAGGCGAGATGGCGACAAGGAGGATACATAGACGGATCTGTATCGCGATCCATTGAGGTGGCTGTGAAGACGTTTAAACACGCGCAGATGGAGTGCTTGGAACATGTCAAGGAAGAAGCCTATTTGTCGTCAAAGCTGGTTCATCCGTGCGTCATGATGACGTATGGTTGCTACACCAGCGGTATCAATCTCTACATCGTGTATGAATATCTGGGCGGTGGGACGCTACAAGATCTGATCGATGCCAACCGAACCACACCCTTCACGTACGAGCGAGGGCTGCGTTATGCTCATATGATCGCAGTGGGAATGCGCTTCTTGCACGGTCTACCTGTACCCATTGTGCATCGGGATCTCAAGCCACTGAATTGTATTTTTGACTCGGAGCAGGAGATGCTCAAAGTTGCCGACTTCGGTGAGTCTCGACTGCTACGCACTCGCGACGTGGTAGCTCCACGGCCGAATTTCTTCCCGTCAGCTGATGTCACTGTGCAGATGACAACCAACATTGGTAGTGCGTGTTGGGCAGCACCCGAGGTGTTGAAGGACGAGGCCACGTCCGAGTATTCGGTGAAGATCGATGTGTACAGCTTCGGCGTCATTTGCTGGCAGCTGTACACATGTGCTGTGCCGTATGCAGATATCCCTGGAAGTGTGTTGGCAGTGGCTGAGGCAGTGCTGAGTGGTGTACGCCCGCCGATCCCTCGGAACTGTCCGCGACTGTTTACAAAAATTATGAAGCGCTGCTGGCACGACAATCCGCTGCGACGTCCTAGTTTCGAAGATATTGTGCAGTTGTTGGAGATTGAGCTTACTGAAGTGCGACGACGACAATTGGCACGGGCTCATGGCAGGGGGAATGACTCGGTTATCGCTCCACCCACGCTTGATAGCAGCAACTTCGACGATACTGGACGTGCACAGGGAATGGAGGGTAGTTATAAATGAGCGTGTGAATTCGAGGTGAGCTCGCCTCTCATAGTTTTAGGAATGTCAGTATGTGAATAATGTTATCTTGAAGTCGCTTCAACTAAAAATTATTGTTTCGTTTAGATAAAAAGACCCAAAACTGTTGTTAATCTTCAAATTTTCTTGTTAAACTTATCAAGAGCAGACTCTCGTGTCTACCAAATTCAGCGCAAATGATTAAATGATGCCGAGTACGCGCAGACGGCTCTCATACTCCGTCCGGCCAATGTAGCAGCCAATGAGAGCTCGATCTCCGCCCTGGAAGGCGTGGCGGCCGTGCATCACGCGCTGGTTGTCCACGACGACCATGTCGCCCACCTGGAGTTTCATACAGAACTCCATCTCTGGTCTGCGCATGACTTCCAGCAGCTTGCGGTGTGCCTTGTAGAACTCACCCACCTCCTCGAAGCTCAGATGCGTCAACGGTGCACGGTCGTAGTCATTGTGCCGGAATTGCACGACGTTGCCAGCGTAGTCTACGCGGATAAGCGGCTCCATAGTAGCCAAGTGAGCGTCATTGTCCACAGTGAAGTAAGGAAGAGGGGTCGTGCTCAGCACGCGGAAAGCCTCAGGGTTCTCTTTCCTGAGTGTCTCCACCACGTGGAACGCGTCCACATAGCGACTCTCACCACCCTCGCCAGCCTGGGCCGCACAGTTGAAGATCTGCAGTCCAGGCGGGTCGCGGATGTACGTGCCATCAGTGTGGTGCAGCAGCTCCAAGTTCGTAGACGCAGTATCGTTGTATCCTTCCGCGTCGTTCGTGGGGTTGGTCGTCCACATCGTCCCGTAGATCGTGCGCAATACGAAGCCGATCTTCTTGGAGAATTTCTCCGTGGCTTCCATAGAGTTGGGCGTGTTGGACACACGCACTAGACCGTAGAAGTACAGGTCGCGCATGAGCGGCTCGATGTTATCGACGCACTTGTTGTAGTCGTGCGTGGGCAGCTTAAAATCGGCGCCTGCCCAGAGTTTCTGCGTCGTCAGGCGTGGCTGGCGATACGACTTCGGGTAGGGCGCAGTCTCTTCGTCGTCCGCGTTGCCTCCTTCCAATGCATACGCGTGATCACGCAGCCACTGCGCGTCAAACTCACTGGCCGTGCACCGAGTGCCGCGAACGGGTGCATCCCAGTCGATGGCCACAGCGCCACCGGCGTTCGTGACTTGGAGCCGGTGGAACGGTGTATTCATGAGGATGGAGGCTGTGTCTAGCTGGCGCTGGCGCGTCTCCGGGTGCATGCAGTGCTCGCAGCGGCAGTGGTCGCGCAGCCACAGCTTGTGGAACTTGGCGGTGGCGCCATCCTCGAACGTGACGCGCACGGCCTGCTCGTTAGCCAGCTCCACCACTTTAGTGATGCGCTCGTCCTCCTGCTGTTTGTCGACCAGCGCCGACGCGAACCTGCGTACACTCCAGGGCTGCAGCGCACTGGAGACGGCGACATTCGAGTGCAGCAGACTGCGCAGCGGACGGATCGCTTGTAGACGCATGTTTCGAGAGACTGGGGCTTGTGGACGACTCTAGACCTTCTTGGCGAACTCGGGAGTGATCGAGACTGGCACTTGAAGCTGCCAGAGACACGAAGACGCCGAGTTCTTGCCCGAGCGCAACGTGGGGCGGATATCCACCTGGACGAGTGACGACGCCGATGATTCGCAAGTTGAGACTACCACGCGACGCTGATTGGCTCAAGGCTTGAGGATCTGATAATGGCTGACGTGGCAACACAACAGTAATTCGTAGTCGTTTTTGGCAGTCGACTCAACCGTGCAGCGATATCCGATACAATTAGTGCTAAGATTGGAGGAAGATGAGGTGCTCGAAGAACTGGCGGTGAGCAGTATTAACTTTAGCGCATTGTGGCGACGTGGATATGAAGGCATGGTTTTTTAAAGCAAGTGAGGGCAAAGCAAAGCGTGATCCGTTCGCGTGTCTTCAGGAATTGCTTTGTCAACAGCGATGCGCACTTGAGTTTCTCTTGCGATAGGAAGTGGCGAGGATTGTCTGAGGTAAACAACCGCCGGTAACAGGGTTTAGATCCATGTAAAGCGCACCACCACTTGCACCATTTTACTCTGCTTTTCGATCGCACGTGATGCTCATGATCTCAGTGCCCAAGCCATGCTATAAACCCACCTGCCTTTTCTCGTTTTTGCCGGTCACCATTACATGAGCCTGGATTCGGAGCGGGTTGAAGTGAATCTCCAAATAAAAATGTTTTCCAAACTCCTTTCTTGGAGTTTTTGTTTAGGGATAAGTGACGCGATCGATGTTCTCCATAATACTATCGACATCACACTGAGATTGCCACTAAGTTATCGGTCTTCTCTCCACCAGCAGAATCACAAGCACACACACACCCTCGACGTTGACCCAAACTTACAAAGAAAATGAGCGAAGTAACATCAGCTCGGACAGCCTGGGCCTCGAAAACCACTCCAACTACTTCCCACAAGTCAAATATATCATAGTTCTGATCCCAGTCTACCGTCGGCAAATATCATTTGTCTGATCATCAACCGTTAAGGTCTGTTACCAGAGTAGCCACCTGAGCGCCTTGTTCGGATGATGCGGATACAGCAACCTCTCGAAGCCCATGGAAATACTTCACGTGCAAGGAAGTAGACAAAATAAAATGCCTCTACATATTCTTCAGAGTTCTAGTTCACTGCTAGTACTGGTTCCAGGGTTTGGGCGCCCATTTGCCAAGGTTTCTATGACAAGAGCAACCAGCTCTTCCGATACGCTTTCGCAATGTAGTTCTACAAGAATCCATTATGAGTACGAGTTCTGAACCGTGCAAACCCTAATGGCTCAGCAGGGCGTGTGAATCACACTGTGATCCACGACACTATTTCTTGCGCAGTGGGTTCAAACGATGCGTGTAGTAGACATGTGGGAATGCGAGCGAAACAAAACTCGCTTGCATACGCGAAATGGCAGGGCTGATCACATGAACCGTAAACCTTTGACAGCAATTCAAATGCCTGCTGACACCGGCAACAACTCTACTGCTGGCTAAACGAAGAGAAACGAATGTTATACATTTCACGAGAGACACAACACACGACCCAAAGCTGGAATTCTTCGAGACCTTGACTGTACGTCAACCAAAATTCCGAGACGACCACTTTGCTAACCGCCTAAATGCATGACATGCATTAACTACATATAACGCATAATAATTCGATTCTCTTCAAATGTCTGCTGTTGTTTCGAGTAGAGTTTGTGGGTCATTCCGTCCTACACTATTCCCACTATTGAGATTTAGGATCACTCTTGTGCATCCGCAGACCATGACCACTGATCGGGGCTGTACCATTCTGCTCCGCAGTCTGGATGGCTACCGCAACACCATGTCGATCGAACAGCAAAATCGCCAGACGTGCGTATTGATACATGCATAACAGCATAATAATCCGACAACACAAAATTCCTGCAACAAAAGATTTCACCCAATATTGGGTTTTATTTAAGTCATAACCTTTTAATCAGGCATACGCAATTCGTCATTTGCCAATCTTGATCGCAAATCATCGCAATTCGACACACAACGTCTCAGGTTTTCTTGTTTCACCTTGTCAGTTCGCAATCTACCACCGCCAAGATACGCCAACCCATGCAGCTCAAGCCCTTGCTTCAAGTCGCAGCGCTGCTGTCGGCGCTGACGCTGTCGCTGTCTCCCGTCACCGCTAAGGACTCTACAGACGCCAAGTGGCTTTGGGAGAACGAGGCCGAGGCTTTTGTGCGCTCGACTCGCAACCACGTCGCCTTCTTCGAAGACTTCCGTCCGAATGACGAGAACCAAACGTGCTCCAGTGACAAGCACGCCACTCCTTTTAACCGGCAAGTGCGCGGTGTTAATCTGGGTGGTTGGCTCGTATTGGAGCCGTACATCACTCCCTCGCTCTTCTACCAGTTCCTTAGCACGCAGGAGCACTACGGTGATCAGGCCCCTGAGAAGACCGCCATGGATACATATACCTTCTGCACTGCGCTGGGCGACGAAGAAGCCAACCGCCAGTTGCGTATCCACTGGGCCACGTGGGTCACTGAAGACGACATGAAAGAACTGGCCGAGACCGGTATCAACTCGGTGCGCATACCAGTGGGAGACTGGATGTTCAATCCATACGAGCCTTACATCGGCTGCACGGACGGCGCCGTCAAGGAGCTGGACCGCGTGATTGAATTGGCCTACAAGTACAATATTGAGGTTCTCCTGGACATCCACGGCCTCATCGGTTCCCAGAACGGATTCGACAATAGCGGCATGACGGCGGGTGTCAAGTGGACGTCTATCGGCAGTACGCAACCCGTTGGCACCACGACGTTCGAGCACTGGCCGCTGCGTTCGGCTGGCTGGGCCGGCGACTTTAATCTGAGCACCAACTCGTACAATTCTCTTAACTATGAGAACTTGAACCACTCGCTACACACCGTGACGACGCTGGTGGAACGTTATGCCGAACACCCGGCCATTATCGGTCTGGAGCCTGTCAATGAGCCGTGGGAACTCACGCCCATTGACATGTTGAAAGACTACTACTGGAGATCCTACAAGCGCGTCAAGGCGCGTGCCCCGCACTGGAAGTTCGTGCTGCACGACTCGTTCCGCTTTGGCGTCCAGTACTGGTCGCAATTCATGCGCGGATGCCCCGATATCGCTCTGGACACGCACATTTACCAGGCCTGGAACAATCCGGGCACTAAAGCGGACTTCTTCGCCAATGCCTGTCAACAGAAGTATACGATCGCGGACATGGAGAACGAGCGGATGCCTGTGATCGTCGGAGAGTGGTCACTGGCCACTGACAACTGCCAAATGTGGCTCAATGGCTTCAACGACAACCTGCCAGGCTTCCCCAAGGTGGAATGTCGCCAAACGCCATGCCCTGTGCACAGTAATTACCTCGGAATGGGTTTCCCCGGTACCCCATTGGACGTCACCAAGCCAATTCAAGGTCCTTACGGCACTGGTCAGTCCGGTCCGTCCTTTGGTAAATGCCCCATTACAAGCAACACGTCGTTTGGCCAGCAAAATGAACAAGAAGAGCGTGAATTCGCTCGTACTCTGAACCTCAAGAAGCTCAACGCCTTCGCTGTTGGTCACGGCTGGTACTTTTGGAACTTTAAGACGGAGTTTGGCTCGCGTTGGAACTTCCTTGACCTCGTCCGCAAGGGAGCGTTTCCCAAGAACGTGTCCAATTATCACCGTAATGAGGAGGTATTTACTGCTTGTTTGGCGGAAGACAAGGGCTCGTTCAAGTGTGCTGCCAAGCGTGGAGTGCAGCCTATTGATCTCTCCAACGGCCTGGACTTCGCTTGTGGGAATCCTGACAAGAAGGTGGACTGCACGGGCTTGGAGAACCGCTTCGACACGCTCGAGGAACGCTGTGACTGGGCGTTTAACGAGTACTGGCACACGCACAGAAAGGAGGGCGCGACGTGCGATTTTGGTGGTGCCGCTCACCTGCTTGCTGCCTCCAGACCGTCACGTGTGAAGCGCCAGGAAGCTCTCGTCACTCCCATCGGCAATCTGATTCTCATGTGGTGTCTTGGCATCGCTGGTCTCTTTGCTGGTGTCTTTGTGCTTGTCACGCTGTACACGCGTTACCAGAGACAACGTGAGTACTCGCCCATCCAAGATGAGAATGTTTAAGGCGCAAATGCTTTGCTGTCATCAGTTGGCTTCGATAATACATTTGACAGCAGAGAAAAACTTCCTGAAAATATGGATAAATGAAATATCCATTTTCCACCGTCTAGTGTGGAATCTGTTGCTGTTGGAAGAGTTGCTGGGCTTGTTCACTGTCTGTTGCTTGCAGAGGTTTCTTGTCAGGTCGATAGCGAATGAAGCGCGGAAATCGAAGTGCTAGACCTTTTCGAGGCGTGGTTGCTATGCCAGCACCGCAAGCGTATGATGGGGATTCTGTCAGTTGCGTGGCTTTGATCTCCCAAACTTCCTCCGGTGCGAGCCAAACATCAGGATGGCGACTTCGAATCGCAATGCATTGGTACTGTTCTGGCACTTGATCTGTCTCGGGCAGGGCTTGGTTCTGAAGACGTGCTGCTACCTCAGATAGTTGGGCATCCGAGAATCCCGTGCCAACCTTTCCGATCGTCTACATCAAAGAAAACCAATTAGTCCTGTAGGTGTACGCCTCAGCGTTGAGCATGATTACCTCGAATTTGCCGCTGACTGAGTTGTACGTCGCCATGAGAAAAGATCCGAACACTCCCGCACGCCGACCTTTACCGTAAAACGCACCGATAGGGACCAGATCCAGCGTGTCTGCGAGGAAGTTGCCATTTCCACTAGCGCTCGCAGTTGACTTCTTTTTCGATGAAGTCCTTGTGGTCGATTCATCCGACAAGTAATCGTGTTTGAGCTTCATCCACGAGTATGATCGTCTGCCAGCTTTATACTCAGACTCTTCGTCATCCAGTGCCTTGATCATTAAACCTTCGCAGCCGCTTGCCACAGCTTGTTCAAGACAGTTGCGAACAACTGCAGCTTCTTTATCATCTTCACTATACGTAGACATCGCATTATTGGATGTCAAACTGATGTCGACATGCTTCACAAACTCGACGTATCCAGGCTCCTCCTCAATCAGAATTTGTAGCAAGGCTCGTCGTTTGCGAAGCGGTTTCTACACCGCAGGAAACAGCAAAACAGAGCGCGTTAGATCACCTAGGACCCTATTCCAAACCAGAATTTTACCATATAAGCCTACATGTAGAAGGTTCTTGTCATCGATAGCAAGCAGATCGAAGAGAAACAAACAAAACTCGGTCGTAGTTTTCGTCTGCAGCACTTGAAACGGGAGGAACGAGCCTGTTTCGCGGTCCAACGCAACCACTTCTCCCTCCACTATAAACGAGGTCACAGAGGGTGAGATTGGTGTTGTTGCATTGCGAGCTGTCACACGTTTCTCCAGGATGCCCAAGAGCGACGAATATCTCTCTGTGACGTCTTCCATATTGCGACTGAAGATCCGCCCGATAGTGCGTACGCTGCAGTTGCTGCCTGACAGTGACAAATGCACTTGGACGCGTGCGCCATCGTATTTGTATTCGCATGTGGCGGTGCGGCTCGTCGACTTGCCCACTCGATCCAGCACCGCCGCGACACTGGACACTGGATAAGCAGACATTGTCAGCACTGGTACACCCGTCGTCGGTCGGGCTTCATCGTGTAGCCATGTAATCCGTCGAGCAATGTCTTTTTCCTGTTGACTCGCATGCACTAACTCGGCCAGCACGCCGTAATTGGGATGCTGAGCGTAGGCAAGCGTAACGCAGTCGATCCATTGCTTCTCCAATTCTGATGCTGGATCTTCACCAGTCGACGGAATACTAGCCATTGCAAGAGCCGACAGAATTGACTTTTCTCCCATTCCAATGCGCAGATTTTGATGCTATTGAACAATGCACACAGTCTTCGTCAGAATGAAAACATCACGTATCAGAGTATTGCAAGTAACGCACCGCCAGCATACGAACGAGAAAAATCCGCTCCTCAGAGCATCTGCGTGTCAAAAGTCAATTATCAGCCGCATTCCGCTATTGCCAACTCCCCTCATGCATGTACCTGCATTGCTGGAGTAGTTTCAGTGCGAGTTGTTGCTTTCTCGTGACTCCACCAGCTCCTTCGTCCGTTGCAATAGCCATTAACTGCTCATGAACCGACTGGATACTCAGTGGCTCTCCACTCTGTTCGCTCGCCGGCACTTCAACGCGTCTGCTTTCCAGTAGAGCCTGCGTGGCCTGTCCGTAGTCTGGATATGTGGCCAGCAGCTTCTCGAGCGTTTGTCTCGAGTCTAAATCTCCGTCCTGCTCCGTCTCCAATTGCTTCAAGAACCGGACGAAGCTCTTTGCTCCGAAACGGAGCTCTACTCCCTCGTAGGGCGGCGCCAGTTGTGACGATGTGAGGTATAATGCGCTGGCCAGCTCTTGAGGCGTCGGAGTGGCCAATAAATGCCGATATCCGTCGGCCAATAGCTGAACACCAGAGACTCGCGAGTTCTTCACCTCCTGGAGCAGAGAGTTAAAGCGTTAGATAGGCAGATGGGGCTCAGCCAAACGCGATAAAGCTCACTTCGATGGCGGAGAAAGTGCGAGCAAGGGTCTCGAATGATCCAGGATTGTGAGTGCTATAGGAAGCGATAGAGGCAGCAGTTGGCACTGCATATAGAATAGATGTCATGGAAGAGGACACGCTGCGTATGAGAGGACGAAGAGGTCTGTAGACTTGGGTATACAGCCTCGTGTGGAATCTTCCACTTCGCGGCACCACCATCATTATCGGTTGAAATAAATGGATTGGTGAGAAGTAACAATGTAATGTGACGCCAATTCGAAGTAGCGCATAAGTAAGGATTTACATCATGTTGAAATGTCTCGTCTCACGAATAGTCACATAATACTTTCATGCTACATCTACAGATTTCAAGGCAGCCTTGGCTCGCTTGGCTTCCTTGTCCAGCAGGATGGACTCGACTCGCGAGAGCGCCGTGGAAATACGCTCCAGCTGGTCGCCATGTGTAGTGATAAGGTCAGCCATCTCATGCTGCCGCTCTGCTAGGATCTCTTGTGTGCTGATAGTCTTGTCCAGCAGCTCTAGCAGCAATTGCTCGTTCTGGTTCAGTTGGGAGCCCTGCTCGGACTCGTGCAGCGCGACCAATGCGGCACGATTCCTCTCTGGGAGGGGATCATCCGTGTTATCGCCGCGAGTGTTGCTGGGGTCGGCGTTGGCGGCGTTGGTTGCCCCTCGTTCATTACTGTCTTGTTTCTCAGTTTCGCTGTCTTCCCTACTATCGATTGAGCCAACACCTTCGTGCATTTTCTGGCTGTCAGGCTGCAGCTGAATTTTCAATGCTGACGGTTTGATGGAAGGTGGTATCTCGTTAGGAAGGTGAAAGAAGCGAGCCATAGCGAGCTTCTGGTTGAGTCGTCGAAGTAAGTCGAGACTGAGATTTACATCCTGCGATTGCTTTTCGTACGACTGCGCGGCGATACATGACACGTTGACGACGTTCGCCTCGTCCTCACGACCACTTGGCGCTACGAACCAGCCGAAGAGGAGATTCCCTTCACTCGTTGCTGCATCTTTCGAAGTGGCGATCGCCACGATCACGTTGCTACCGTCTGGGTACTCTCGTCGGTGCGTAACGACGTGTAAGCTTTCGTCACTCGTTGCACCGAAGCTCGCGTGCAAGGTGACGCTGTCTACCCAAGTCTGTCCACTAAATTCGCGTCGACCGGCTACGTGAGAGAAAAGTTGTTGATACAGAAGTGCATCCTCGTAGTCCAAGAGCTGGGCCACGACACTGGAGCAGTCACCGGCCATCTTCATCACACTTTTTGTGAACAGCTTCTCGAGATTGAACAGCTCGAATGTCTTAATCGCCCCGTTATTGTTCATTTCAGGTCCGGTGATATGCTCAGCCCAAGCACTCCTCTGCAGTTGTTGGAAGTAGTCCATGGTCATCGTGATTGTGTCAGAGTACTCGTGTGGCAAGTACGTTGAAGGCCGTGGTGCATCGTAGCCGTGATCTTCTGACGAACTCGCGGTGCGCTGCGACGAAGGCAACAAGTTCAAGCCGAGCAGCGACGCGTGTAGATCTAACTCCTCGGTATTCGTTCGATCCCGCTGATAGAGACCAGCAGTGCCATTCACTTTGACTGGCGAATCCATCGTACCATCGGCTGCTACTCGCTGTTCGAGCACCTCGGAGACGATCTTAGCCACAGCTTCAAGAGTGGACTTCATCGCATCAGTAGTTCGGGAGTGAGGCTCTGTATCGAACGCGCACACGACTCCGATGCCGTGACCTCGGACCCGAACGGGTGTTCCAGCGTAGTACCGCATGGGGCTGGTACCTACGGTGTGTCCTCCTGCGTGGAAGAAATGCTTGTCAGCACAAGTGTCGCCTACGATCATCGTCTTGTCCTGCAAGAGAGTGTGGGCGCACACACAGTCATCTCTTGGAATGTGCGTGACGCGGTCGTCCAAGCCTACGCTGGCCTTGACCCACAACAACGAGTCATCCATGATGCCAATGAACGCTGCGGGGCACTCCAGTGTCCGTCCTACAATGCTCACAAGTAAGTTCATAGTCGGATCGACTTCTGCGGATCGGATAGTTGAATGTCTAGCCACTTCCAGTCTTGCAGTCTCGTTCGCTGGCACCGGTGGTGGCCATAGCTGCACCACACTCCCCAGCGTTAGATCCGAGTCAGCACTTAACAGAGTCATCTGCTTGCGACGTCGAACTGCCGGCGAAGCGAGACTCAACACCGATACAGTGGAGAGCCGCCGCTGTTCCGGACAAGTCTCCCTCAGAGCAGCTTCATTGGCTTTGATCGACGCGTCTGCGGCTCGGATGATGCAAAATGTGCAGACTCGAGTCTCGCACTCCACGTTCATGTCCGTAAGACGAATGGCGCGTTGGCTAGAGCAACCACCACACACCACTTCGCCGCACGTTCGGCAATGATGTCGTCGCCGGAATGGCAGAAACTGCACGAAGCACGCGCTGCAATGCGTTCGCAACTCGTCGTTCACCCACGAATCGGTCTGCAGTAGATTGTTCACCATGAGAAGTCCTCCTTCCAGGTAGTACATCATCTGGAGCGCTTTGCCCTTGCGCTGGCCGCTATAGCGTATTAGCTCCCCCGCTCCGCCCATTTTTTCGGATGTGATCCCGTCAGTTGAAGTTCTACAAATCTCGCCAGTCGCCCCAGAGCGGCTTTGATCCAAGTTGATCTGTGCAAGACGCGTCCGTTCACAAAGTGAGCTCGGTTTCCAAGCATCAGGCTTCGCGTTAGACGAACACAAAGGAAGAGTTTTTTCCACGCGAAACTATGCGGTTTTAATATGTTTGACACTAACTTGTCATTTTCGTGTTGAGGGCGTGTTGATGAACCTGCCAGAATGTCGACTGCATAGTATTGTCTACCGTCCTTGACGACAGCCGGAGCTAGGAGCTAGCAAGCAACGTTCACTGGCACCACGACGGCGTTGGTGCCTTCAGCGTGGAGCAATAGAAGAGAAGAATCACTTACTGATCATCAAGGCCTGCAGAAAGGTATCTGTTGCTTCGAGATCGGAATGCGTAAAGTGAGCATGGAACGGGTCGAGGCCTGAGTAGGCCTCGTCTGAAGATAGTCAAGAGTATTCGTCGTTTCGAGTTCGGATCAAACACGAACGTCAGCAGGATGAAGGAAATCAATCCAGCGAGGTATCTTGCATCTCGACGAGTCCAGCGTACTTATTGAAATTGATAACCCAGTTCTAGATCACTGCGCTTGGTTCCGGCAGCGGGTTCAGATAGCGATCACACCTATCGTGACGGCCATCTGCATCACGGACGCGGCAATGGCTTAGCGCACATTCAGACTCAGCTGTGCATTATCTCATTCATCGCCAGAGTGGCAGCGTGCCTCTCACGTTTCGCTCAGGCCCACCAAAACGCTGGCAGCAAAAACACGTCACGCAAAGTGCAACATCAAGATCGGTCGTTTAATTTGGCATTTACTGTTAGTGAGGGCTACAGAATCTGTAGGACAGATTGAGGCCAGTGCTTTTGGACCAAAGGCGCCACGATTCGATACTGTAGCGTTCCACGGCAGTTCAACTGCGCTTGCAATTTCGACATGACGAGAACGTGGTGAAAGGCTCCTTTACTTGACCACGTGAACAATATTGGCTAAGCATCATATTACAGCGCTGCGTTTCGCCAAACCAGTGTAGCCGGCCGAGGCGTTTCACCTCTAACCGTTGAGCTGAGCAGAGCATGAGTCGCAGCACTAGCACAATGTACACTGTTTGGAATTCCAACAACAGTCAGCAACAACATCCACAGGACTGCCTCCTGCATCAGCAGCTTTCGTTACTTACCGAGCTATTGGTAGAGAGGGGACACCAGAGCATTGGTCACGGTCGGCTGGCGGAGACTATTTCAGCAGTGCAGATCTGTCTACCTATTTTGCGCAGAATAGAATCCATCGACAAAAAATCCGTAAAACTTGTTTTTGGAAAATGACGCATGGTAATGTACACCGGCAAGAGCCTCATTCTATCGAGTAAAGAGATTAAATACAATAACGCCTCTCTTTCACAGTAACCTGCAATATCATATTTATCATTAAATAAATGTAACACAAGTAACACACATCGTATCGAATTATAGAGGATTTTAGGCCAGAAAATGTACCCCTCGCCGCCTACACTCCGGAGCCAGTTCGAAAACGCCCACTAAAAGAAGGCGACGCAACACACGCCCTCACCGACCCAGCAGCAGGGGCGCGCAGTTCCCATTCCTCCAGGACCACCTCCCCACACATCCCAAGCAGAGTCTCCGCTCGCTACGTGCAACCAGCAAAAACGTACGTCTGCCTTCGCCCCTCTGCTCCAAACCGACGCTAACGGTATTGTCACCCTCGTTGCCAAACAACCTGCAGAGCTCCCTCTCTATCTGAAACCACACAACAACCATGGGGTGCAGTAGCAGCAAGGACAAGAACGACTCGCAGGGCCCCATGACCAACCGATACAACGAGGCCAATTACTCGAACCTCGCGGCCAATGTGAACAACGGCAACTTCTCGGCTCCACAAAACGGCAACCAGCCACGTCGCTCCGTGCCGGCTCCGCGCAACCAGCGCAATGGCAATCTGGGCGCCTCTCAAACCGGCAACCGTGCGGACTCGGACAACTGTTTCCCAGAGCTGGTCAAGTTCCGACTGGACGAGAGCGAAGTTCTACTGACGCGCAAGGTCTCGAGCGGCGCCTTTGGTGTCGTATGGCTGGGTCACTACCACGGCCAGCCCGTGGCTGTTAAGCGCATGATCGACGGCGAGGACGAGGCTATCTCCTTTTCTCGTGAGATCGAGACCATGTCCCGACTGTCGCACCCTAAAATCGTACGCTTCATCGGCTGCACGTGGACCAACAAGAAGGATCTAGGCGGCGTCTCCGAGTACATGGACGGCGGAGACGTCCGTACACTGCTGGAAACCCGTAAGATCGAGCTGAGCTGGAAGAAGGAGAAGATTTCCATTGCCATCGATATCGCTGAAGCTCTAGCTTACATGCACTCACGTTCGCCCAAGATTATTCACCGTGATCTTAAGTCACGTAACGTGCTGCTGAATTCGAGTATGGTGGCCAAGCTAAGCGACTTCGGACTCAGTCGTAACCGCACGTACGAGGAGACGTTGACTGCCGGCGTGGGCACAGTGCGTTGGACCGCTCCTGAAGTGATGCTGGGCGATAACTACAGCGAACAGGCCGACGTGTACTCGTTCGGTGTGGTCTTGAGCGAACTGGACACCCGCGAGATCCCGTTCGAAGAGAAGAGCAGCAAAACAGGAGCCGGCGGCGCACCCGACATGGCCATTGTGATTAAGGTGGCCAAGGGCGAGTTGCGGCCAAGCTTCGCGCCGGACTGTCCCGATGTGATCCTGCGTATTGCCCGTGCCTGTCTGCAGTTCGACCCGGCGCTTCGTCCAGACAGCGAGTCGGTCGTGCAGATGCTCAACGACGCGCGCATTCAGCTCCAGGCGATGTCATAACCGTAGCTCGCAGAACCCAATGACCCCACGCAAACGCGTCTCCTTACAGCAGCAAACGGAAGCTGCTACCGTCCTTCCAGTATGAGCTGACGCGGGTGTGTGTTTAGCAGCACGAATTGAAGTGCTGTGAACGTTTTTCTGACACAACGACAGACAATCTGGGACGAGAAAGAAGAATAAAAAGCGGGTGGATGTCTTGCGGTGTGCAAGTTGGGGCGATGAACGACAGGGATGGTAGATTTCATTTGGTTGGGTCAGGAGTGAGTGAGTCGATGCAGATGATCGAGAGAGTGAGGTGGACACGAAACGTTATCAATTGCGCGTCGCGTCTGCCTCCCGCTCTTGTCGACATCCCTGCGTCAGCGGCTTGTTCATTTGTTTAATTTTTAACCACATTGTTTTTTTTTCTTGAACTCCTTGACAAGGGTAAACTTTTGGTGGATGCCCACAGCCTTACCGCTTGACCCGATAAATGCGAACCATCCACGCGTCTGATGTGAACACGTGCTCGAAATGCCGTAGCTTGATGTCGCGCGTTGGAATTCTAAATTGGCGACTCATATCCCACCCGAGTACGGGATTTTCACCTTCCTTTGCAGGTTGACTCTCTACTTGATTAAATTCATAGTAGCTGAGCTTGTACAGGACGCTCTCCGTCATCGCGAGCGTCGCGTTCTCGTGGAAAATGTAGCGTCCGTTTACCTGAAACTCAGACTCAATCACATCGTCAGGAAACACGCCTTCTGAGATCTTTACAATCCATGGTAGCTTGTCCAGGTCATCTCCAGGCATGCCGACATTTCCTCCGAACAGTAAGAACACGTAATCAACATCGAGGCTTCGTAAAATCGGTAACGCATCGTCTTCACGTGATGTGAGGACGCGTCCGACAGTCGCAATGTGCGTGTTGTTCCACGTATTGTTGTCGACAAGCACTGTGCGATTCGCAAGCGTGGTGACCTGGTATCCATAGTCCCACCAGCTCAGAATTTTGGCGTCCTCAGGCGTGTTCTGGCGCAGCCACGCAAACGCTTCTCGGTAGTCATCGTGTAAATCTTTTTCCTTCGTTGTCATGTTCATTTTCTCGAACACAAGCGACGTCGACGAATACACTTTTTTGGCGATGTTCGAAGAGTGTCGAGCATGAATAACGAGGAGAACCTGTAGCCATGTATCAAACACCAGAGTTCAGATGCCAGTATCAGTACACCCCGAAGTTCAAACCACGTACCCCGCAAGCGAATACCAGCAGTTGGAGAGCCCTGGGAGCTTTCTGCTTTTCACCATCATCGGGTTGAAAGCGCAATTTAGCCACAACGGCCGAGAAGATCTCCCCAGAATGAGACCTGGTCGAATCTTCCTTTTCTTCTTCTGCTTCCGTCTTGTTCATCCCGTCGGTTGCGTTGCTGGTCTCAGTTCCTTCTGCCCTAACTGGATCCTTCCGCGTGAGTTCCACGATCTTGTGCATGAAGCCTGAAGCACCAATAGCCGAAAGATAGCAAGCTGCCGGCGCAAGAGTCAGCAGCAATCGGACCATGATGCCAGAAAAGTAAAACGCGAATGTGCTGTAGACAATCATAAACAGGAAAGCCGCGTCGAGTTTCTGGAAGGAATAAAATACTCCCAACGGGATAAACAGCATCGCTGGTCCGAGCGAGAAGTAGAACGCGGACCACACTGTTGGTTGATGTTCACCCACCGACGCAATGATCGGGATATACTTGGACGCGTAGGTTGGATCCAATAGCGTCAAACTCCGACCGCTCCATTGAAGTTTTCCCAGCAACAACGCAAGTAATAAACCACTACCGATGATCGTTGCGCCAGCTCTCAAGCACGTACGAAGCAGTCGCATGAATTGGTCTCTTGGTATCTGGGTAGACAGCCAGTGCATGAAGGCGTACGCTGTATGTAGCAGTGATAAAAACACCAAGCCATTATCAGCCACAATAGGTATGCAATATAGTACCAAACTGACCTTGCAGAAGCGCGAACACTCCGTGGGATCCAGCGTTTTCGCCCTTTATCATCGCATTGAAGCCAATGAACGGGACTTGCATTGCTCCCAGCGTCGCCAAAGGGTAGAACGTTGAGTACGCCACATATATCTTGGGTGAATAATGTCCGGAAAGTAACAGTGCCAGCACATGGATCGGGACAATATTGATAATAAACACGTATCCTCCCCACGACAGCGCCATGCCAAAGTATGAAACTGCAGCCAGTGCCGCCCACAACATTGCACCTGTCTTTACTGCTTTCACCCAGAGGTAGAAGGTGGAGATAAGCAAGAAGATCGCAATGCCCTCGTTGTCAAAGGACCCGGCTGTCGAGCGCGAGATGTACGCAGGTGACACACTCAGCAGCATGGCCGACAGCAGCGCCGTCACCGTACTATTCGTCACTTCGTAGGTCAGCAGAAACTGCGCCACACAGGCGAGCGCCGCGAATACTGGAGCCAGGAAGACGCAGGCGTCGCGGACTGAGATCGGAAGTCGCAGCACCAGCGTTAGCGTCCACTGTAGCCCCGCAGCGCCAGCCATGAGGCCGGGATATACCGTCGTGCCAACGATACGGCCTAGGGGGTACCATGCGCGGTCATCGAACCAGTCCAGAAGCTCGTAGACGCCGTGTTGGGCCAGGAACTTTGTAACGCGGAAGTTAAACTGCGGATCGAACTCGTGGATGACCTGAGGCGTTACGGAGAGTTAGAGGGGTGTGCAGAGAGAGAGAGAGAGAGAGAGAGTCCAGATAAAGGAGACACGTACGCTGCCCCATATAACGACCGGAAAGAGGCGGATGGCGAAGCTCAGCACGCAGATGAGCGCCAGCAACGCACAGGTAGAGAGCGGCGACATCGCAATCGTTCTTTAACTTGGGTTTGTAAGGTTTCTTCAAGCGACATTCAAGCGACATCGGTTGGCTTGGTTGAAGTGACCTGCATTCTAGGGAAAGGAAAGAAACATGCCTGTGACGAGAGGTAAAGCGCGGTTGATGGAGAGCCAGGAGGAGGAAATGGAGCAGGAAATACCCCAGCAGCTACCGGAGACGCAAGATGAAGGAGAGGATGAAGAGCAACACACTTCGACGGAAACGGAGGCGGCCGAGGTTGACTTGAAGGAGATGGCCAAGCAGTTAACTAAGACGCTGAAGCACTTGCTGACCACGCACCAGTGTGTCTTTGTGGGCAGAAGTACTAGCTTGTAGAGTGATTGCTTTGCTTGACTGACACCTTCGCCTCTGAGCACAGGCGACTCGAGAACGACGCGGCTATGATCCAGGCTGGAATGGACGAGCTGCATCGGATGCAAGAAGCGGTAAGTTACTGTACCACAGAGTGTGTGCTACTGTACTCTTAACACATTATCGTTGTGCTCAAATGCATTTTGTAGCGAGCTGAACGCATCGTCGGACGTTTGAAGAACGCCAGCTCAACGATCCTTACCTTTGGAGACACGAGCCAAGGGGAACGCCTCGAAGACGAGGGCAACGACAACGAAGAAGAGACAATGCACTAGCTAGCGAAGAAGGACCGTACGATGGAGCTGCTTGGAAACGTCCTCGGAACTCAGACGTATATTTCCCGTCAGTCTACATGCTTTCCGGCACGATTCTCTACGCTTCTTCTCAGCCCGCTATAGGACAAAAGAGTTGCAAACCACACATCTATCCAGGTGCCTTGCAGGGGTATCCTCGACACGACGCTAGAATATCCGAGCTAATGAGGCCAAAGCGAGCGCTTTGCACAGGAATACCGCATAATTCTTCCGTGTCGCCTCAAGGTGATTCAAGTCAGAGCTCACTTCTTCAATGAGTCGAGGTCGTCCACGTCTTGCAGATACAGACTCTTGTCCATGACTGCTGCTGCCGCGTCAACGGCTGGTGAAGCCTTCTCCTCATCATCGTCCTCATCCTCGCTGTGGACTGAGTAAGCCTCGTCATCAGCATCAGCGTCATCACGGAACAACGACGGATCGTATGTGAACAGCGCGCGACCACTCACTGAAGTAACAACAGCAACAAGTGCTGGTTAGAAACACCAGAGTGTCCAACAAGCAACACGCAACAATTGCAAACGTACTGATGCCACGACCACCGGTCCTCTTCGCCTGTTCCTTCAGCTTCTTGGCCTCCTCAGCCTTCTTGCGAGCCAACTTGTCGGCCTTCCACTTCGCAAGCGTCTCTTCCGTGACAGGAGTACCGCCGTTGGGGCCCAACTTGGCGCGCTGCTGCTCAATAATTTCTTCGATGGAGATCTCCACGACCTTGTTGCCCTTTTCAAGTTCGCGATCCTTTTTGGACTTGAATACGTAGCCAGGAGGAAGCGCGTGACGGTATCTTCACGTGTTGAGGATAACTAGTTAGAGAACAAGAATAAATGACAATAAACGCGAGCATGGAGATGTTTGACGCACTTGCAAGACGCGCCTCCGTTCGGGCACACCCAGAACCAGCCGTACAGCGACTTCTCGATAGCATCCAAGAAGTGTTTGCACACAATTTCCGTCTGTTTTGTGTTCTTCTCGTGGTGTTTCTCGTTGACCACTTTCTCCAGTTTCTCCTGATCCCATGTGTCCATTTTATCTGATGGAAACCAACATAGAAATTAATCTCATCAGTTCCAGTACAACGCATCTGTATTCCAACCAGTAGATCGCACCTGCTTCTTTCTCCGCACGAGCATCCGTGTACAGGTCGATCTTAGCGGCCTTCTTGCCCACCATCAAGTCATGTGAGAACTTGCAGCGGTTTCCCTACACCAACCACAACACAGCGTAATCAGCACCCCAGCGGTCCATTATCATAGCCCTCGCGCGTCAACAGCTCACCTTCGTGCACACGCCGGCCTTGAAGAAGGCACAGAGCACCGACTTGGGGTCCGTTCCGGGTGGAACCTGCACAAATACAGGAATTTTAGCGAATTAAGGGTGAGTCTGACAAATTGAAGCGGCCGGCAGAGTGATTCCACCCACCTTGGGCTGCGTAATGGCGGCAGCAAAGAGACTTTTGAGGTTTTCCTGCTCCGCCTTGGCATCCTTCTTCCTCTTGGCTTCTTGCTCTTTAATGCGATCGGCACGCGTGTTGCCGCCCTTGACCTGCTTAGTCACCTCCTGGATGTATTTTTGCACATTCTTGCTCTTCTTCTTGTTTTTGAGACCGAAAGTCTTGTCCTCCACGATCTTCTCCTTCTGTTTCTCGATGGACTTCTTGGACGGACCGCCTCCTTTCTTCTTCGGGGGCATCTTCGCTTGGGGCTGTCGCTCGGAGTTGGTAGAGGGCGGACGAGCAGCGGATACCTAGGTCGCTGCTGCTAAGGAATTCGATGGCGTTTCCTGGCTGACAGCCGCTCTTACCACAAACCGACCTGCAATTGGTAGAAACACCGGTAAATAGGTTTTGTCGAATGGAAGAGTACCAACTAATCAATTTTGACCAATCCAAGCGAAAAGTAAATGGCTGAATTAATTACATGTATTGCTTTTGGCTGATCGTGGTGTTCTGCTTGCTGCATATGCGGCGGTGGACGGCGTCAGCACTGCCTCCTCGGTGGCGACGGCTGCAAGCGTCTCCTCCTGCTCCTTCTCGACGCGCTTGGTATCGCACCAGTCGTAGTAATGCTTCATGACCAGCAGGACGATTCCGCCGAACAGCTCGAGCGTCGACGGGATCCAGATGGGCCATAGACCCTCGCCCATGCCATACACTGTGATGCACGCGATGCCGACGACAAAGACTGATTGAAAGGCTTTCGAGATGTCCTTGGCGCTCTTGGATCGAAATACTTTCACTATCTGCGGGACCAGCGCCGCCGAGACGAGGAAAGAGCCAACGAGACCCAGCGTATCGTAGAACGTCTCCATGTTGGTCATGGCGCTATACCGTAACGTCCTGCACTGTTGGAACTTCAGAAGTGAGCTGCAAAGCACTCCTTCGACGATGGCACCGACGTTTCGCTGATGGGGCATAAGCAGGGGTGGGTGTTTAACATTGGAAACACTTGCTTTCAGTAAGCTTTTGGCACATGGCTACATTCGAACCGCAAAGTCATCGACGTTGAGTGGTCTCAGCCGATGTCTGCCCTCCACGTCGACTCGTTGGCGCTCTCTCCGATGATGCAGTACTTCAGTATGGCGCAAGGATAAAGATGGTCTGTATTGCTCACGCTAGCTTTTCGCAGTAACTGAGAAGTATACTACGTCACTGCAGCGTCCGCGAGACGGCGGAAGCGACGTCAACCTCCACCTCAGGGCTAGTGCCGGCGATCTTGTCACCGTCTTGCTTCTGCTCCTGCCAGTCGTAGTAGAGCTTCATGCTGAACACCACAATCGCAGCGCACAGTTCAATCGTTGCAGGGATGTACACGGGCCAGAGCCATCGGCCGAAGCCGTACACCACGATCATTGCGAGTCCCAGCACGTACGATATCTGGTATGACAAGCTGATGTCTCTCGCGCTCTTGGTCCTGTACAATTTCATCGCTTGCGGCACCAACGACGCCGCCAGCAGCAGGGAGCCGAGGAAGCCAAGGATTTGGAATGCTTCACCCATCGCGTCAGTGTCGATTGGTGGTATGTACTTGAGTCGGGGAGAGCGGATTTGGAAGTGACAGAATTTTAAAACGTTTTGCGTTGAGTTGCTTGAAACGTATGTTTTTCTATCGCATGTAACTCAGTAGGAATCTGCAGTTCATCAACTGTCTTTACAAAAGGCCGTTGGCTTTAGGCTTGGCAACTTGTGCTGCAAGACATCAATGACTTGTCCGTAACCTGTGTGAATGTGAGTGATGGCTGGTTCTTGTTGTTACCATACTCAAATACTAACAGAGGAATTGCTGGGCAAAAGGCCAAGCAGGAGGGCACGAGCTCGAATTCAAGAGTGCTGTGCGGCGACAGCAGAGAGGGCCCTCCAGAGTGTATTGGAGGCTTAATATATGGTTGGCTGCAGTGCCACAGACGATCCTACAAATCTTACGAGCTGGTCTGGAACCCAACAACGGGCGACGGCTCAGGCGAGCTTCCAGAGCCAGCTCACATGTACATGTACTTCACACTCCCACTCGAACACAGCTGCTCCATCGCCTTGATGGTAATCCGTGATCGTCTCACAATGGTAGCTGCAGTGCTAACACGCCTTCTATCCAGCAGGACAGCGCTTGCCCAGGCAGTAGCCATTCTTCATAGAACTAGTAGTTGTAGCTCCCACTTATTCTTCACTTTGCTTCTCAGTGTCCTGGTAGTGGTAGAACCTTTAACATCTGACGGCAACGCTCAAACTTTACACGACCAAGCGCTTTGGTCAATATGTCGGCCACCATTTTGTTCGTTCCGACATGCTCTGTCTTCAACCGCTTCTCTTCAACGAGATGGCGAACGAGATGATACTTGTTCTCTATGTACTTTGTCTTTTAGTGTTTCCCTGGCTTAGCTGATAAGAAGATGCTTCCTCGATTGTCTCCAAACAGCACAGGACCCTCAACTTCCCACTTCAACTCCACACACAGTCCTAGCATCCACAATAAGCCCTTTGTCCCTTTATTCATCGCTACGTACTCCGCTTCGGTAGTACTTTGTGCATTGATCTCCTGCTGCCTCGAATCATACGATACAACATTGCCATCGAGCATCGTCACGTACTCACTAACACTTTTGCGGTCATCCACATCATTAGCGTAGTCTGCATCCGTAAATCACGTCAATCGCACTTTCGAACCACCACCAATGTCGTTCACTAGCCCGTAGTTAACGGTATGCGTCAAGTCGCGGAGCACACGCTTCGCCATGAAGTAGTGCTCGTAGGTGTAATTGCCCAGATACTTCCCAAGATTGCGAACAGCATGGGCAATGTCAGGTCTGGACACCGAAACCAAAACTGTAGTGCTCCCACTAGCTCGCGGTAGGGTAGGTAGACTTGTTCTGTCGGTGCTCTCACTTGCTGGGGTGACGCTGCTTCAGGCGTCATGCAGCCATTGCACTCTGCCATGCTAAACCTCTTCAACACGCCCTTCACGTACTGGCGCTGACAATACATCACCTGCTGCTGCACAGGGTCAATCATGATCTCCACTCCAAGCAAGTATTTCACTGGGCCAAGCTGTGCCAATTCAAACTGACGGGAGAGCTGCTGTGCAATGCTGCTGCACAGAGCTGGTGGTCCAAGTAGCAACACATCATCCACATACACTGTCATCAGCATAGAAATCTCTTCAGTGTCTCCTACTTTTCGCGCGTACAGGCCGTAGTCAGAATCTAATCGGGAAAAACCAAGCCGCTGCAATGCCTCATGCAGGGTGCGATTCCAAACGTTAGGGACTTGCCGTAGCCCATACAAACTCCGAAGCAAACGACACAAACACGTCCGGCTCACGCTGAAATCCTGGAGGAAAATGAAAATCAGCTCGTCGAGATGTCCATACAGAAAAGCAGCTTTGACATCATACTGCAAATCACCCAACCTCGCTGCAGCGCGAAGTAGATGGCCGCTCGAATCGTCTCAAAGCGAATAACAGGTGCATACGTCTCTGTGTACTCTAATCCATGTAGCTGCTTAATCCCGTGAATAACAAGGCGAGCTTTGAAGCGTTTGGTCTTGCCACGTTCATCTCTCTTCACAGCATACACCCAGCGACAGGTAATAGCTTTGCGTCCTTTCATAGCAGTGCGGGGTTCAAGTGTCCAAGTCCCATGATCACACAAAGACTGTAGTTCATCCAGCATAGCCTGCCTCTACTGCGGCCACTGAGGTGATGCTCTAGCTTGCTTGTAGGTTGTAGGCACAACCACGTCCTCATGGACAATGACGCTGTTGACGACGTAGTCACGAAGACGCACAGACGGCTTTCGCTGGCGTTGGGGTCGAGGTGCTCGCTCCACTCTAGCGTCTGCTGCAGGCGAGGGTGGCACCCAGTCTTCATCAAGACAAGCACCACGTAGGAGCAAGTCACGATCCTCTTCGGATCGCTTCCGCTTCCCTTTCTTCTGGAAGTCATTCGACGGGTTCAGTGCTGCAGTCGATCCTCTTGATGGCGTGGACGCTTCGTCCACAATTGTAATCGGTACCTTCGTCTTATCTTTCGCCACAGCCGTTGCGTACGTGTCCAGTCCAGCCTTGATGCGCACAACAGGTACGTTCACAGGTAGATCGTATTCTCCACCGAAGAAGCAGTTCAGTAGAAGCGTCTCCATGTACTCAGCTTCAACAGTAAATGACTCATGAAATCTGATGTTCTCCTTCCTTGCAGTAATCACATATCCAGACTTCACGTCGAGTAGCTTGTATCCTTTGCGATCCGTAGCGTAGCCGAGGAGAATACATGTCCGTACACGAGTGCTCAGCTTCTCCTTCTTTTGTCGTGAGCTGTCGCTGATGTGTACATGAGCCACGCAGCCCCACGTACGTAACGACCGTAGGTCATGTCGCGCGGTTTTTGTACTCACCTCATGCATTGTTGATGCCGATGGTGCACTCAATGTTGTATGTTGTGTTGCATGTTGTGTTGCGCCATGCGTTGCTTCGGACGGCTGTATTGTTTCAGGCAATATGTAAGAGTCTGAAGGCTGTGTGAGGCCGTCGTGCGTGAATGACTCGTTTGCAATTCGCATCGTATCTTGAACGGCCTGGAGCATTGCCACACCTTCCGTAAAGACTTGGACCAATTTTGGACATGTCCATCATATCACAACGTTGGGGAATGCTCGATATTGGAAGGCTTTCGGAGCGATGCACTTTTCCAGCAATATACATCAAATGCTGACAAGGAAGGTTGTAGCTGCAATAAAACAAACATGAGCACGACCACTGAAAGTTGTTGCATTGATGCGCGTACTCACTTGTTTTCACTTCCCATTCACCCATTTCGGATCCACGTTTCAAACAGGTTGTATGCGGCAAAGCAACCATGTAATAATCCCATTGCGATTGAACATTAGCAAGCATCGAGTCGTTCAAACGAGAGGCCACAAGCGATTGAAACCTGGGAACGACGTCGGGGTGTCGCGATTTTGCTGAATTTGTGTGCATTGCTGTGACCGAATGTCTGATAATTGTGGCTTGATGAGCTAAAAGCCCATCAATTGTTGCGTCGAGCCGGGGACGTTTTCCAAGGAGGTGATCTTTGCGTTCTACTATTTAGCGTAGATGTAGTCAAAATCAAGCACTTCCCATCGAAGAGAGCGAGATATGAAATTGAAATCCAAGAAAAAGATTCGGAAAACAACAAAACGTGAGTGCCGTTCGCCCCCCAACTGCACTTGGCGGCACAAGGCCACAACCCTTGGTTTTGCAATGCCCCGTACTGCAAAAAAAGTTGTGACCTTTTCCACTTTGTTGAAAAATGACATGAGTGGGATTTGAACTCATGCCAATGAAGACTGGTGCCCAAAACCGGCGCCTTAGACCACTCGGCCATTGTGTCGTTATGATGCCATGCTTTATGCACTTCATATAATCTCATAAGCAATTTGAACATCTGTAGTTTTATTATAATAGAGATTTTTTGACTTGGAAGAGCGCGACCTGGTAATCTGGGTAAAATCTGAATAAATGACGGATAGATTACCGATGGATGTTTCACTACTTAATTCCAGTGGAATAACGAAGGTCCATTCGAATGTATTTTTGGACCAGATGGGAATTACCCTTTTCTGACAATTGCTGTCAGAAAACCCGATTTATTCCAGAATAGATACAAAACTGTTCGCTGCGTAATAAAATATGCTTGGATGGATTCAGAACTCTCATGTCGCAGTAATTTTCCTAACCGTCTTTTATGTTTTAGTAACTTCTTCATTTTTTTATTATTACTTTCGCTCTTAATTGTTAATACATTAAATTACATGTTGTCTCCTAACTCAGGGCTTCAAGGCAATCAATACACTACCATAA